CTCAATCACCGCCGCCGTAAATAGGAGACGGAAGGGAGTGAGAAAGGAGGCGAAGAGAAAAAGTGCTTGCTGGGGGGGGAGGGGGGGGCGGCATTTTTGGTGGATGGTATGAAGCCAGCCATGGAAACTGCAGCGGAGGAAAATGCAGAACAAAGCCAAGAGAAAAAAGGTACCCAGGGGTCTAACAATAGCCTGTTTAAATCTTTTCATTCAGGGGGCTTAAAGGGGTTTAGGCCAGTTTTGTCACTTTTTCGAATAGCTCTTAAACAATCATTGCTGCATCTTCGGGTTTTCAGCCGTCCTTTCCTGCATGGCTTGACAACAAATTAATAGAGCAGCAATCTTTCTGTCTGCGTCTGTGTTTGCTCTGAATCTGTCCTAACCCTACCAGGAATGATGTTTGCAAAAGAAGTCTTGTTATTGCTGCGTCTTTGACGGATTTTGGTAAATTTGGTTTACAGAGGTAGCGTGTGCCTGTGTGTTTGCATGTTGTTTTCAGAGCCATAATCTGGTGTTTTCATCGAGACTAGCCATGTAGCAAGGCTTTGCAATGCAGTGTGGGAGACCTAAGTTATAATAACATACAATAGATTATAATATCACACAACCTTTGTGTAGTTAGCTTGGTGCCAAATGCTACTCTTAAATTCCTTTTCCTTTTCTATGGTGTCATCTGGCAAATTTTGCTTATGTAGAGATCTTCCTGTGCTATGATAATGGGGAATAATGCAATGAGTTTCACAACATTAGGTTTCAGGATGTGTTAATCACCGAGAATTGCTGCTTAATGGAGAGAACAATTCCATGGTAGGGAGACGGCAGCGCAGGAGGAGAGGTGCTTCATCCATCCCAGCCTTACAGGTGATTTATTTGGTCTGGAGTGCTGAACTTCAGAGGGTAAATTCAACTAGCAAAGGACTGTTTTGTTTCTGCATCATATAATTTATGCCAAATAAATGTCCCTCTTCAGTGTAGCAGACTGCTGTACAAATCATAGCAATATTTTTTTGCTAAATGATACAGCAGTAACAAAATTATTAAAATTTCCACTGGCTTTTTACATGAGTCATAGTATACTTTTGAACCTGCTGTGTGTCAGTTAAAGCAATCTGAGTATCTCATAGGCATATGCAGCTGATACACAACTAACACATTTCCCCAAGTAGAATTGTTTAATTTATTGTTATCAGTTCAGTTGTGAACGTAATGATAAATCCCAGTACTGTCCAGTACCAGGTTTTGTTTTCCTACTTTGAATCTGATTCCTCCTACACACTTTGTATAATTCAAACCTAGCTTCAGTTTCAAGTAAATAAAATTTGTCAAGTGATTAGACATAGTACTACATAATCCCTTAGGGATTTCACAAAAGGAGGTCCACTGATGAGAGATTAAACTCTGAAAGCCATTAGTGTATGTGGACAATAACCCACCTCATCGCAGATTTTGAGTAATTAACGTACAAAATGTCCTAAATACCTTGGCTATAAACCCATGTTGAACTCCTAGATCATTCTTCAAAAATTACAGCAATTTTTTCTTCTGATTGATGAGTTTCTTTTAAACTGATAGAACTCATGTACAATAAACACCAAAGTAAGTTACCCATATGCGTTAGCAGCTGTGCAAAATGAAATGTGTTGCTGAGTGTGTTTATGACGAGTTTGTGGTTTCCCTTTTATTTTCGCAAGGATGAAAGCACAACATGTAGAAGGGTAAGTCTGTTACCAAGTCAAGGTGGTTGATCTGTTGCTTTCATAGGATGCAAGCAGGGGAACTTCCTATCTTAATTTTACCACCATTTCCTAGTTTTTCTGTGATAATTTTATATTTTGGATCTGTTACATAGGTACGTGTATGTAACACTTCGAGGCTTTGTTCTTGCCAGTTCCCTAATTTCTGAAAGTAACACGTGGTCTCTCACATTATGCTCTTTATTTCTATTCACTTAAATTCCCAGTATGTTTCACAGCGAATTAAAATGCAGAAAGCTGAAACAGTCCTACTCCTAGTTTCAATAGCAAAATAAATAACCCAGATCCCCCTGAAAAGTTACTGCCATGAAGCGGTGATGTAGGAGGCATATTCGGTTTTGGGGGGCAGATTTTCCAAAGTGCTAAGACTGTCAAGCCCAGTCGGGTTTTCAGGTGGGCTCAGCAGGCATCAGGTACCTCTGAAATGGCAGGATTTTTCCAAAGGGCTCTTTCATCAGCAGCTCTCATGGAGAAAAATGAGCTTTTTCTCTGTGTGAAGAAACTTCCTGGAAAACACTGCCACTTCACTTTTTGGGGTGTAAAAGGGAAGCTGACCCCTTCAAAAATGTGTCCATTTACTGTCCGGACTGGATCTCCTGCCTGCTATGCCTTGCATGCTTGCCGGGCTTGCAATACTTGCTTCTTCCTCTAAGATCCCACCTGGACTTAGTGCAATGGCCGTCCTTTATGAGATGCCCTAGATCCAGTGATTGCGAGGCAACCACCACAGCTTGAAGCAATTGAAGCGCTATCACAAAGTCTTTTAACTTTTCCTTCCAGAAATGAATTGCAAAGTCCAAGGAGATAAACCAACGTCAGAGGGGACTTGGGGGATGCCGTTATTGCTAAGACTGAGCAAGAGAAGATCCTGAACGTTTCGCTTTGGGTATTCAGGTTCACACGCAGTATGCTTTGCACTGCTAAGTTCTGGGGAAAGTATCTGCATTTAACTATTAGCAAATTGTACTTTTAAGCTAAAAGTTTTTTTCCCTTTACCAGAATTTTAAACTACAGGTTTCCAGGTTGTATTTTTTAATGCAAGGACCTCCTCAATGATGTACTGCAATTGTATAGAATAAATAGTTGGAGGAAGTTGGGCTAGGACTACATGCTGTCTATATACAGGGCTCCCCGTACTCATGAGGAGAACGCTGGAGAGCAATACTGCCCGAGCACTTGGGATGAGCAGCGAGATCTATTTTCAGTTTGAGCACGGAATACAGTCAGATCTGAATGATGGTGTCGCGTAGGTACCAGTTTGTCTTTCCCACCCCTGTGGCAAATGTGGATGGCCAGCTGTTTTGGACTGCAGCATAGTTGAGACAGTTTACACAAGCTAATGCGCTTTGTGAATATTTACTGATTGATAAATGAAAATTATTGATCTCATTTAGATTTTTAAAGTTCGCTAAATTGTATATAAATTCCAGTTTTAGATTTTAATAATTATTTTCATGAATCCCCTGCCTGATTCAGGCAGTGACATTATCCAGCTGATGGATTCAGTGTTTATCAGACATTTGTTTCTCTGTACGCAGATGAGTGGCTTCTGCCCTAGTTTTTCTAATTGGAAATGGAACAACACCCATGTTGATGGAGATAAGAAATAAGTCAGCTTTATACTGCGTATCAGCAGCCCTTATCAGAGGAGAACACCATGAGCAAGCTGAAGCAAAATGTTTAACAGATACTTTACAGGGCTGCAGGACAGATTGGATGCATTTTAAAGATGAAGGTTTACAAATTATTACAAATGACAGGATTTATCTTGCAGGCATTAAATTAAATCAAAACATGAGGACTGAGCAGGCAGATTTACTGAGGTGGAATAAATAAGAAAAATGAGATGCTGTTTTGCATCAGCAGTGAAGGATATAGATCCTGATACACATTAACAGAGACAAGAAGTTTCCTTTTTCATTTAACCATGAGAAATACTACCAAGTTGCAAAATTCAAAAACCAAAACAAAATAAACCCAACGGTGGATGACCATGGTGAATTCACCAATTACACATGGGAGAATGGAAGAAAGCCATTATATGAGAATATAGTTTCCTTGTACGAATGCATACGATGTTCAAATTGCATGCGCTGTGCTGAGGAATAATGAAAGCCAGCCTGAGCAGCTGTACCCAAGGTTCCTTTTAATTGGTTCTTCCCTACTAATGTGCTCTCAATGAAAGAAGACCTCGTGCTCAAGAATGGCTTTGAGCTTTGATTATTATTTTCATGGTATATGAAGCGACGTTTCTGATTTTAAACTCTAAACAGACAAGTATGTGCTAGTAAAAAAACAGAAAGAAAATACTGCTCTTAAACCCAAATATACAACTGTGTGCGGTAGTGTAAATGGAGCTGCTGAAGTGCGACATGAGAAAGGGGTGGATTAATGTGCAGTTTATTTCACTTTTAGTGAAGTTCTTTTTACGCAGTGAGCTTACGACATTTTCTTGCATCACAGATAGATGTATTTTTCATTACAGCAAATTGAAAAAATTGTCTTTTTTATATATGTTATGGTTATTAGCCAAAATTTTCAAACACACTCCCTTAATGTTAGGCTCACATGGTGATTTCAGAGCTGTCAAGCCGTTTAAAGATTTTTAGTATGCTGCATATTTTTTCCTGTTTCAAGCAGTTTATTGGTGTTTCAGATCCCCTGAAAACAATAACTGCTTTAAGTCCCTGAAGAATATGACTGTAGGAAGAGAGGTCCAGCCCAGGGAGAATCTGGGACACGCGATATTCTGGGGATAATAATTTGGCAGGCTTAGTGATTTAGGTTTTAATGACTAGGATTTGGTTTCTAAATAGGAGGGGGTTGAAAAACACTCGGAGAACGTACTCATACTGGTCTGAATGCCCTCGTGAAAGCAGAAAACCTAGACATATGTGCCACAGGATATTGTAACGGGGGGGAAAAACCGCAGATGGCACTGTACGTGCACAATGGACTCTGCAGTGCGAGCAAAGGGGCTAAAGAGGGGAGAGAAGAGGGGTGGGGGGAGCCCCCTTCGGTTACTCTGACCTTTCCCCATTTTCTGGCCAGCCTTGCTCCTAATGCAGTATTCATCACCAGATCGCCAGATCATAAATGACCAAATGACAACCCTTTCTTTGCTCCCGTGGACTGCTTCGTCAGCTGCGACAGATGAATGTCATAACTGTTTTTTTCCTCTAAAACCATATGCTAAAGGCAGCAAGCGTGAGGATGTTGGGCACTGGCAATTTTATTACAGGCGTGCAAGGTGGTTCATCCCAAATGAATGTTGAACACCACAGTCGCCATCGCTGTGCCTGCGTGGTGTGACAGGAAAACGTTGTCAGTCCTGTAGCTGCTGCGTCTGTGCCGGATCGAGTACAACCTGGTTCAGACAGGAGGCCTGGAGCTGTATGAGCTTGGCTGTGTGTGGAGCGTATTGTAACCTAGACCTGGGAATGCAATTAGTGTCGTTAGTTCCTCAAAAAGCAAGAGATAAAGAAGTCATTTAAATCTATTTCCTTTCCTAACTCTTTGGGGTACAGAGTTAAAGGGGTACAGAGTTAAACTCGAATTCATACATACTGTGTGCAGTAGTTGTTATGCCACTGAAGCCTGTGGGGCTTTTGACCTGGTGGTGATTTTGCATGAGTGGGCCGGGGTGGGTCCCAGTGAAGTCGCCAAAAGATACTCTTCAACTTCAGAGGTCGTGCCAGGCGTGCAGTAAGGGCTACCAAACAGCCATTGCTAAGTGGCTCTTTGCAGAGCAGTGGAAAAACTGAGATTCCTTACGGAGTTTGAACTGTCTCCTAATGAAGGGAGCCCTGTTACTGCAAAACCGGAAATTACTAATTAAAAAAACCCAACTTCATGGAATATTTTCACTTACAGGAATGATGCTACAAAGTTTGCATGCTATCTCCACGTTTCAGGGTTTGAAGTTTGTCCCATAGCAGACAGTGGTGACTTCACCAGCATCCCCTCAGGCTAAGGGAGAAAGGCAGCTGCCTGCTCTGCTGCTCTGAGCAAGAGGGTTTTGTAGCAGCTGCAGGAGAAATCTCGAATTGTGGGTTCAGGCCTGGTAGGATAAAATCCTTTTAGCGCCAAGGGTTTGGTCTAGATACTGCTGCAATGCAAATGAACAATTTTTTCTTCCCAGAAGTCTTTGCAGCTGTTTTTTTTAAATTTTTTTAAAAAATAATATCTGAATCTGTTACCGATGTCCAGTAAGTAGCTTCAAAAAAACAGGGAGCAAACAGTTGGGAGGGAGAGGGGAGACGGTATGCAGTACTAGCGAGCAATTCTGTTGTTTTCCATCTTTTATCAAATTAAATGATTATGGAGTCTCTTGTGATGTCATAAACAGGATTGTTCCTGTATAAGCAGAAGGCGATGATACCATCCTAAGCGTGCACAGTCATTTTGGAACGATGCCTTCAACACATTTTGAATTTGGTTGTGTTCCTAAGATGTGGAATCTGCCTTTCCTAAAAGGAAGGATAAGCTGTAGAAAGTGGAATAATGTCTTTTAGGAAAAATATACTACCTGATACCTGCTTGCTGATTTGTTTGTGAGTCGCAGAGAGGGGAGAAATACCAAGCCACAAAGTCCTTGTGAAGAGAGAGCCATTGATTTTAAGTTTGCATCCCAAACCCAAAAGACTGTTTTAGTATTGTAGTTCATTTGCCGGTGTAGGAGATAAACAAATTCTTGTTTCAAACCTCTAGATCCAACACGTGGATTTGAGGCCAAGATTTTTTTCTCTTCTTGACGTATGTGAATGTAGCTGTGCCAAATTTGTTGTTGCACCAGCAGCAAAACCACATGAGAGAAGGACCAGGTCCAGGACCTTCCTAGCCCCTCACAGGCCAGAGATTTATGGCATTCCTACTCCCTCTGCCCCCCGAAATTTGTCTCTGATCTAGTCTATGGTAGATGGGTTTTCAGCATCGTAACCTTCGCTTCCTCCGCCTGCCCAAATGCTACTGAATCGGATTTACTTTGGCCAGAGATGATGGTTACTTTCTCATTTAGTCACCGCAGAGTGAGACTCTGGTGCATTTTAAATAAAGATCTGTCTGTCTCGCCCTGACAGCCTTGACAAACCATAGCGGTGCCGAGGGGGGACGTGTAGGTTCAAAAGTGGTCTGATGTTGTTTTGCCAGTGGCCTCTTTCAAGGGGCTTGCAAGCCCTGTGCCAATGAGTGTGCGATGAGTGTGCGAGCGGGTCAGGTGTGTTACTGCACATGGGTTCTCGTTGCTGAGCTTCATCTGTCCTCTGAAAAAGCGAGAAGGATAACTGCTCTCCTTCATTGTAAACCCGGAACAAGTCTGTTTTAACATACTTGGTCCAGATTTTTGGACGCGAGCAGAACCTATGTGAAATAAAGCCCACGACAGTTTGGGGTTTTTTTATGTAAGAAAGTAACAGAGCAAACTCGTGTGTTTGCCCTACCTCTACACATGACAATAACCATTTTCTTTGACAGATTTAGGGTCTTTTAAAAAAACAGGTAACGTGGTTTTCCATGACTTTGTCTTCCTTTACTTCTGGGGCCGAGCTCTTTGCCATGGACAAAGAGAGGGAGACGTGAGAGTGGGTGGGGGGAAGGAATAGAGAGCCCTTCCTTACGTGTTTAATTCAAATCCTAGGTGGAGTTTTAGCTATGCAACCTTTCTTAACACCTGTGTGAGTGTCTCCCTGTCGATGTCCCTCCGAGCCCCTCCCTGGGTTTGGTAAAGTTATGTTGTTTCAGTTCTGAAACTACAGCGTGTTTTTCTGGGCTCTATTTTTAAAGTTAAATGACTGAAAGTGCTGAACTAAAACTTGCTGGCGACACTGACTTTTTACCACCTGAAATTGGCAGTGATCACCAGACCAGAAATGGAAATTGGCAGGTACCACTGGATGTACAGGAGTTCAAGGCCACACCGGTACCATCATGTGCCAGCATTGAGAGGCAATATTAGTCCTTTGGGGATTCAAGGTAAATAAAGGGCTGGGTGAAAGGGAAATGGAGAGTTCAGAAATAGTAGTAGCATAAACCTAATGCTTTGCACTAGTCCTAACAATTTAAGATAAATGTTCTTCTATTTTTCTTGTTTTGTTTGTTAAGGCTGTAAGGAGTCTAGTTCTTTCGTATGAATACTTGACATAATTTTAAATTTAGTTGTTAATGCTTGAAGATCAATAATGTGTGGTGAGGGATACCTCCCTTTTAACTGTGCTGCCCGATTGCTTCAAAACTGTTTACAGATGAGACGGCGTAGTATGGGTTTTGTATGCAGATGAATCTATCAAACTGATCAGCCACAAATGCGGTAATTGACACTAAAGCAGTGACAGCTCATCCGATTTACTGGTCTCCTACAATATGCTTCCTAGACAATATTCCATGGTTTTGTTTGCATTTTTCCCTTGCTAGAAGCAGTAAGTGCGTATGTCAGAGTCTAAAGGAGGATTTCAGCTGAGGCTTTAAAAACGGTTTTGTGATTCCACATGCCTGTCCTTTCTATATCTGGCTCGAGACCTCAAAAAGATCCTATTTTGTTTTCCTGAAGCTTCATTTTAAGACTTTGGGGAGGAATTTAGTTTTGAAGCATCTCAGAAGGGCAACTGAAATCAAGCACACGATTGATTGCCTTGGAAAATTCCAGTCTGACTGAGGGTTAACACAGTGAAGGATATAAATGCTCACAGATAGCATTTGCAGCTAGCTCTATCCAGCAGTCCTCTTCTCTTTATGGAGCTGATTGACTGAAGCCTGCTTGACAGCTTGTTTGCTGGAGATGCCTGCCTCCACATCAGAGACTTTAACAGCAACTGCAGGGAAATATTTACCAAAGCTTGCTGCCTGATCCTTCCCTTTTCCATTATATTTTCACACACATTTGTTCTTTAGGTTTCAAATGTTTATGTATTTCAAAGTGGCTATTTCAAAGTGGCTTTTTTTTTTTTTTTTTTTTTTTTTTTTTTTTTTTTTTTTTTTTTTTTTTTTTTTTTTTTTTTTTTTTTTTTTTTTTTTTTTTTTTTTTTTTTTTTTTTTTTTTTTTTTTTTTTTTTTTTTTTTTTTTTTTTTTTTTTTTTTTTTTTTTTTTTTTTTTTTTTTTTTTTTTTTTTTTTTTTTTTTTTTTTTTTTTTTTTTTTTTTTTTTTTTTTTTTTTTTTTTTTTTTTTTTTTTTTTTTTTTTTTTTTTTTTTTTTTTTTTTTTTTTTTTTTTTTTTTTTTTTTTTTTTTTTTTTTTTTTTTTTTTTTTTTTTTTTTTTTTATTGGCAAATGCTTAGGTTGCAAATCGTAATCTCCATCTTCAATATCAATATTCATTTTGGCCATGTTTTATGACAAATTACCTGGGTGACAGACTCAGGGCTGCCAGAAGACATTCCCAAACTTCAGATCAGTGCACGTGGGATATTTTATACACAGGAGAAATGCTTCAGGAAGGAGTGACAGATTGTGAATGCTGCCTTCCTGGGAAGGAGGACACGGAGGGAGCAGGCCAGATGCCTGGTTATCAGGGTCTTGTGCCCCGTCAGCTGTCCCCAGTGATGAGACACATCCGTATGTGCTGGCACGGATGAGCCAGGACGCAGAGGAGATGCACAGCCTTCTGTCGCAGCAGCTGGGAGTCTGGCACCTAAAATGGTGCTAGAAACCCTTGTTTAGGCAACTGAACCTTATGCAGGCTGCCTTGGGAAGCTTCCTGAAATAACATGCAGGTAAATGTGGTGCCTGTCATGGAGGAGTTGAAGATGAAAGGGTTCTTGCTGATGGGGGTAAAAAAAAACCCCACCAACAAAGCCCAGAAATACCAATTCAAGGGAAGGTGCTTTAAATGGCTGCACTTAAGGAAGTGAAAAGGTTTCTAGGCAGCAATGAAACTGCTCTGAACACGTGTTGAGTAAGACCAATCTGCCAATGATGGATGAGCCACAGTGAAAATACTGGTCTTTGCTCCTTTCCCTTAGATTGGAGGGAAAATGTCACTTCAGTCACAACACAAGTCACACCTGTAACATGCCTCCCTTCAGTACTAGCATACAGCTCCCCACTGCTGGGTGGCATTGGCTAGTGTGCTGAGATAAACTCTCAGTTTCTTTGACAAGCCACATTATTTCTTGGGTGCCTTTGCCATGCGGATATTTCTACTTTGTCTCCTCTGTCAGTGTCTGAATGGACATCACTAGGAGAGCACCTCTGTGGCAGTCCTGGTGGCATCCACCTCTTTGCCCAGGGCTTCTACATACGACGTGATCTCCTCTCCCTGTTTTAAGCTTTAATCCGGCACTTGAGCAACAAGGGAAGAGTCAGCGTGGGATATTCACTGTGGTGCTGGAGCCAAGACATCCCCAGAACACCTGCAAGCTTAATGAGCCTTTCAAAATGCCTAAAACAATTTTTTCCCAGGAAGCAAAGCACCCTCTTTTTCTTTAGTAAGAGAAGCTTAGCAATGGTTGTTTAACTCTTCCAGGCTGGGTGGGCGTTGTTTGCTTTATGGGAATCTTTTTTTTTTTTCTTCCCCTTAACTTGCTTCCCCCAGATGCTGGGAGGTGTTTCAGCTGCTTTGTGAGCGCATAAGGCATGGGAATGTGGAGTATCTCACTGAAACAGCCCGCTCCCTTACTGAAGCGAGCTTAAATTTTGAAAATGGTGTGGTGGGCACTCAGCTGGGGAAATACCTGCATGAAAGCTGTTCCAGGGCAAAGGACTTCTGCAGTTGTGGTTCAGGTTTCTTACCGCTCCTCTAGTTCCATAGTTGGGTAAACGTCTGGGAAGATCTTGGCATCTTCAGTTATCTCTGAAATTGAGAATTTACCTTCTGAATCTTAGATCCGCCAGGCTGAAATCCCCACACACACAGTTTTTTGCCCTCAGCTCTAGGGAGAGAGAGGTTGTGTTTCTGTTTGCTTCTTTGTAGCTAGGGAGGAGTCAACTGGGGAAGCGGTCGGTAGCAGTGGCTGAAATCCAGTGTGGCAAAAGTCTTGCTCTCCTGCTGAGTGCTGAAGGCTGATGGAGAGTGAGGTGAGTTACAGCTGCCAGAAAGGTGGAGCTAAGAGTCTCAACTCCAGTCTTCCAGGTAAGATACTCACCTTTGATTAAAGTAAGTCAGCTTTAAAAATCACGTCAGCCAATGCAGTTGGGTCTGGAGGATGGTTGAATCAAGGAAACCCAAATGTCCTTACAGAAGGTTTCACAGAACTGCTGAAGTAGCCCGTGGGACTGAAATGCTTAGGTGCATTTGTACTTCCCCCAGTGAGCTTGTCTAGACCTTCAGGCATTTGAGTATCTTTGGCAGTCTGCCCATCACTTCATCTGTTTTACCTCAAGTTTGTCCAAAATTATCACCTGGGCTGGCACCTACTGAAGCAGCAGTTCTTGCATGTTGACCCTACTGAGTGTTTCTCCAAGAAGGCAAAAACAGGTGAAGCGAGGGGAGGGAGGTCAGGGTGAGGGCAGAAAGAAGGAATGTCTTCAGGCACGTTGAGCAGTGAGTCGTTGATATGTCAGCTGAGAGTTACAGCCACAGTTTGGACGAGAGGCTGCCCTTGCTGGTGCAATGTGTTTGAACTTTGAGCTCTGCCTGTCAATGAGTCCTTCCACATGCTCAGGCTGTGCAAAAGTCCCAAGGGTTATTTTGGATAGTAAACCGCTAGAACGAGTCTCCAGGAGGAATAATGCCAAAGCTTATCTCAGTACTGCTTGAGCTATCCCTTATGTGAGAAGTCTCTTTTTAAATCACCAACTTAATTTTTTTTTTTTCTGCAAAAGTAGCTTACAGCTAAAAAATATCCATCCTCAAGGATTCCCATATAAACCTGTTTGAAGTAAGGCCTTTTCCAAAGTATAAATTAGGTATTTTTCTTCTGCTGTGGTTTACACTGTTTCATAGGCCAAAATTAAAACAGAGAAGGCATGACTTAAAATAAACAAAGTTCTGCCTGACCTTTGTCCAAGAGCAATAAACCTGGAGAAGAGCAATTCCCTCGTCCCACTGTCTCATGGGGCAGTGGCGTTCTTCCCATGCAGGTCTGACTCCCTGCTCTCACACAGCAAACGCCTGGGATGGACGCCTGCAATAAGCATGGATGTAGTGATTCCTATTTCATAGATTGCACTGTCTGAAAAAGGCGCCTTCAGAACACCTGTGAGCTTAATGAGGCTTGCAGAGGCTGGGAATGATATAGATGGGGAGTGTGGGTATTTCAATAAATTTGAAGAAGATAAATTAGATAAGGCCTGTAAAAGACCATTCAGGTTTTGATTCCTGCAGTGGGAATGCAAATTTTTTTTTCTGTAAGAAGTGCTGCTTTGGGCCTGAGATTTGAAGAAAAAAGAGGATTATGTTTACTGCTGTCTGTTCTTAGAGTCTTCTCTGTGTCATTTAACAGCATCCAGAAGAGACACATCTTGCCTTGGTAAAACAGCCTTTTCTCCAATTTGAATGTCATGTTTTCTTTAGTGAAAGGAAAAAAAATTAGCTTTTTGGTGTTGATGAACATTGATAACCGCTGCAAGGGTGGTTTTTTGGTGGTTTGGGTTTTTTTTTGTTAATCATGTTAGGAAAAAAAGTGCTTGATTTTAAACCTATGCTTACTGTATTTTTGCTGGAGTATTCAGGAGCAGCTTATTATCGTTACTCATACGGTACCACAGAGATACTTGGTGCTTTGTGGATTTAAAAAGGGGTCTGCTAATAGTGCTTCCAGGCTGAGAGATGCTTGTTCTTAGTGTGCACCAGTTCTCCTGGTTTCTCTGCGCCCGTGCCAGCACAGGAGGCATGAGCAAGGGTTTTTAGTTCCCTGCTACACAAGAATATGGAAGCATCTAATGAAATTTAAAGATGGCAGGCTTAAAGCTGGTAACAGAGAATAAATACCTTCTCAGAAGTGGGGAACTAGCTGTATGACAGTGCTGAAACCAAATATCTCATATATGTATCAAGAATATCTGGAGAAGTTGCAATTACTGCTGATAACCTTCAGAAAG